CTTAGCTACGGTTACCTTTGCACCAGGCATTTCAAAGCTGAAACTGAGCTGCCACAATTTGTGGAAAGCTTAGCTGCCACATTTTGTGGAAAGCTTAGCTGACATACAGTCAGTGGAAAGCCAAACCCCTGGATCAGAAGCAAACCCCCAAACCAAAGGAACACAGCATCACTCCGACTGGTTCCACGATTGGCATGTCCCTGACTTGGCCGACACGACCGTCTCCTGGGATGATTGGCTCTACAACAATGACCCCATCGAGGCCATCATCGAGAGCACCTACCAGGAGGCCAACGACATGAACCTTGTCCCGGAAAGCCTTGCTTCCACTTTGAGTTCTTGCTTCTCCACACACCGCGAGAACCGACTTCGCTTGGCACGAGCAGTTCAATCTCGTGGCTACTGGGTGAAGGGTGGTAAAGGCAAGGGCAAGGGCAAGAGCAGCAAAGGAGCTGGCAAAGGCTCCAAGGGTGGCAAGCCTTCCAAAGGCCGTGGAAAAGGCGGGTCTGGCAAGGCCCGAGGAATGTCACTCGATGAGCTGAAGGCACAGACAGCCTGCGCCGAGTGTGGAATGATGGGACATTGGAAAGACGAATGCCCAAATCGCAAGTCCAATGTCACCCGCAACTACGATGATGAGCACTATGGCGACCAGGACTATGACAATGAGGAGAACTGGGACTATGGGCCTGGCTTCGAAGGAGATGAATGGACGGAGGAGAACTGGCAGGATTGGTGGCCCGAACAAGACGCCGGTCTTCGCTCTTCTCACACCACCTTGCGTGAGCCTCCGCCGGCTAAGGTTCCACCTGTCAATCCGCCGACCAAGGTTCCACATGCTAAGGTTCCACCGGTCATGCCTCCGACTCAGGAGGAATTGGACACTGTCGCAAGCCTCAAGAGGAAGACGGCAGCAGCAGCTTTGCCTTCGCGACCTTCAACTACGTCCAAGCCCAAGAACGTCGCAGTGACACAGAATGTCCAGGCGCAGCAGCTCAAAGACCAGCTCATCTCCGATGACTTCATCAACCCACGTGGCACTTTGGCCACAGTTCGCGGCATGTTGGAAGCTCGCCCGGCTTCAGTTGGTGATGATTTGGCAGCCGTGCAGCATGCGCGGGACGAGTTCAACGCAGCGCAGGACTTCCAGAGTTTGGGCTCTGTTTGGAGCCTCCTTCGTGAGGACAAGAAGGGGCCTTCAGCTGAAAGTCTGAGGAAGCGCTCGGCCTTCATGAGTGCCACCATCATCAGCCTTGAAGAGGCCTACGAGTATGAGAATGACTTCAACCAGAGCGCCAGGACTATTCCCTTCTCTATGAGCCCGCGGACTTCATTGTCCTTGACCCGGCGACAACCCACAGTTGAACAAGGGCGGATCTATCTCACGATCGATACCGCCTGCGAGAACACCGTCACCGGCTCTAGCGGCATGGAGGACATCCTGGTGAAGCTCAAGGCCATTGGACTGATGCCTCTCCAAGAACCAGAGCGTGAGCAATACTGCTTTGGGCCGGGACCGCCAAAGGTCTCCACTGTGAGGCTCTCAGTGCCAATCGGCATTGGAGGAGTTCCCTTGGTCATCCGCACCAGCTTGATCAAGGAAGATGAAGGTGCGCCCAACAAGATACCGTTTTTGGCAGGTCAAGACTGGTTGGTCTTCATGGAAGCAGTCATTGACTTGGGCCGCAACACCATGTGGCTCCCGACCATCCAGAAGGAGATCCCACTGTACGTGGACGTCACTGGCCACCTGGTCATTGCAGTGGATGAGTATCCTGCCGCGGGTTGGCCACCTGGTCTCACAACCCGCGTTGATCGGTACCCTGGTGCCATTTTCACCGTGTACAAAGGCACCGACACCGACACGCCAAAGCCGTTGCATTCGCAGCCGACAAAAGATGGAGCTGCGAGGGTGGAGAACTTTGCCTATGTCCCAAGCCCCAACTATGTTTATGAGCCCAATGACGACGACATGAATGTGAACAAGTTGCCCAGGGGACCCTGCTTTGTTTTTGCTGATTTTTGGGAATACACCCATGATGGCATGGTGATCCGACACCATCGGAGGCCAAGACAGCGGCCTTTCACTTTGGACGAGACGCCGGACAGCCCAGACCCGCAGTCCTTGGGAACCGCCAAAGTGACCATCATCGCAGGGCCCCGACAACAACATGTTTGGGATGATGCTCATGAACTCCCATCCATTTGGCACGGCAAGACATGTTTCTTTTTGAAGGACACCAACCCCTACAAGGTCAACATTGAGCCTTTGCAACATGTTGGTGTACCAGCTCTTTTTGAAGGTCAACAGAGTTCAGTAGAGGTTTCTCCTTCCAGTTTGAGTCCCCTCAACCGCAAGAAGATTCAGCAGTTCGATTTCCGCTCGACTCCGGCCATCTTCGAACACGCGGACACCAAGAAGAAAGTGATCTTCGATGTGCCCGACGGCCAGTTTGGTTCAAGCACAAGCCGCATGTCTGTCGAGCAGGGCTCCGGACTATCTGGTCAACATCGTCTACGACATGAATCACAAGAGCATGGGCGACATCTGCGAGGAGGACCTGGAGGCGAAGCTGGACAGCTTCACCTACCACTACAACCCGTGCAAGAAGTCACCTCTGGGGAACTGGCAACACTTCGTTCTCCGCATGAACATCATGTGGCAGGCCATGGTTCGATGGCAATCCTGCAACAAGGTGGTTCGCGAGCTGCAGCACCGAGCTCCGGCACTATGCAGCTACATGGAGTCGATGATCCAGCTGGACAGCCAAGAGATTTTGCCAGCGACCTGTCCTCCAGCGACGACCAATCCTTCAGGCAGGACACGAAAGGTGATGCCAACTCCATACCCCTTCACGGTGGAGAGGTGCCCGCACGATGCAGAAGCAGCCAGGAGGTATGGCAATGCCCACGGACGCTTCATGGAATGCCTCCAGTGCGGGGCAGTCAGAAAGGCCTTCAACGAGGACTACATGAACCCCATCACAGGCGAGAAGGTCGTGGTCCACGGCATTCGCCACGGCAGGAAGAAGCAGCCCGGCGGCAAGATCGAACCCGTTCTTCGAGACTCCCCAAATCTCTCCGCCAAGCTGGCAAGCTGCTACTCGCTCTCTTCTTTGCCAACCTCTGCTCCTTCGGAATCGACACCCAAGACTGGGGCCACGTCTTCGAAAACACTAGGACCACTTCCCTCTACACGGAAGAGTTCCAAGACACCGGCCTCGAGCCCGGAGTGGGAGCATGTTGGGATGGAGGATTCAATGCCAAGCCTTTGAAACAAGGCATGCGAAACAGGTTGCGACACCAAGCACGAAGCGGACTTCAAGCAAGCTCGATGTCCAAGGACTTGGTGGCCCACAAGCTGAGCACCTCTACCTGGCCTAAGAAGAAGTTCGGGTACGACATCGTGGAAGTGTTTGGAGGAAGCTCCATGGTGACCATCCGCGCTTCTGCCGTTTGGGGGCTTCGCTGTATGCAACCGATAGACATCAGGTATGGCTCCGACCTGAGACGACCATCGACAAGGGCATGGCTATTGCGGCAACTGGACAAGCTCAACCCCAGTCACTTTGCACTTAAGGCCGTTGGGTCAGAGCCTTCGGTCCTCACCCACAAAGATAGTGGGGAGTGCAGTTTTTCCATGGATCATGCACGCATGTGAACATACCTCACCGC